TTTTGCCATTATATTTAGATTTTCTATTGAAAAGTTTATCATGTCACGTCACCACCACTTCATACATCTTCATCACCTAGCTTAGAAAAGTTTATACAAGATAAGTAAACTTGAGAATAAGCAAATTACTAAGCTCAACCAACATTTCTTATCAAAAGTGTCACACCAACACTAGGTCATCTATTGTGTTTGACGAGTTCTTTTGAACCCACAAACGTCTAAATTACTCGATGCCTTAAAATGCCCATTATTTTTTTTTTAAATGCTCGACTCTAATATAATTCCAATTAATACCCTTTGAGAATCCTTTAATTTTTTTGATTCGATGTTCACAACAAGTTTAAAGATATCGTTAGATTAAATAGTAGATGATTTATGTAGATAATCTTAACTTTATCGAGAATAAACCTATGTTTGAGTCATATTAAAATTTTCATTCTCATTGTTCTACTCATTTTCAATCACACATTTTTCAATAAAATAATAATTTCCATCAAATCAATAAAATTTCTTTCTTTTCAACCACATATTTTTCATCAATTTACTTTTTCAGAATACATTTTTCAAAAATAATATGACTGAAACACACTCAACTTTTTTATTCTTCTAGACCATTGAATGCCTCGAGATTCTAGTATATGTTGATCCGAACCCCAGATATAACTATCAAAGAAAGAAATCTTGACCGTTGATTATATTCAATGGTGACAGTGACGTAACAGTCGACAGCGTTCAAACAGATGCTGTAATAAAACTCTGAACACACTGTATTATTATATACATATACATACATCTCTGCATAGCTTTAGAAAAACACTTTAGTTTAAATGGCCTGCTGACCGTCCGATCTACATCTTGATTCCTACCTCAAAAGACTAAAATATTTTTTACTTTTTTATTATCTGACAAGAAATAAGTAGTATAGCCCACTCGTGAAACAAAAGCTCACCTAATTCCAACTCTTTAACTTTTTCTCTATGTACAACTTGTTTTGTCAATAACAAAATTAAAACATGCTATACCAAAAGTGAAACTTATCATGTTAAAGGCAAAAGAGTACAATAAAAAAGTTCAAGAATCATATCTTCGTGTTTCTGTCACCATTTGTTTCATACTCGCTACTCGACGATGAAGATCGTGTAAATTATTGAAATAAGGTGATTCGAATTCTGTTTGGTCGGATCAAAAAAGTTGGGAAAATGCCACTTTGTCAGAATAAATTTGAC